AGCTCCTTCGATCCGCGGCTACCGCCCCTGCATCCGTTCTGAGCGCTAGATAGGATCTTATTCTCGTACACATGACGAGAGATCTTAGCGCTCAGAACGGATGTTAACGTCTTATATATTGTCGTAAGACAAGTGATGGGGCGATATTTAGATGGATCCGCGGTATCGTCCGTCTTAGGAGCTAAATGAGTGATCCCGGTTGTAAGGAAGTTCGGGAGCGTCCTGTTTTCGAGGGCACTCTGGAATTGCACGGCTAAGGTCGCATGGCTGGCCGAGAACGCCTTTAACCAGTAGTGCTGCAATCCGTCGATTCCCGGACTTTTCCAGTTCGGAGCCCGACGGATCGCGGCAACCACGTCTTCCTCCGTAATGGCAATGGCGTTCATCGGCGTTATTCGAGCACATGCTTCCTCAACATCGTGCATCCATGCGCCCTCCTCATGTTCCACAGGTTCAGACCACAGCTGTCTCCAGAAGGCGACGAAATTGGCTGTTTCGGGTCTTTGTCCTGTGGGCTGTAGTTTTGGGCGCTCCAAGTTCCTATAAAACTTCCGTTGATCACTCATAAATTATTATTATTATTATTATTTCCTGTTAAAAATAGTGCTTCAGGGAAAATTCCCTCCCCACCTTGGTGGGACAAAGATTGTACGAAAGCAATTAAAAATCGTAAAAAGGCTGAAAAAAATTATAATAATTACGTGACATCAGAAAATTTTGAAATTTACACCGCAGTTTCACGTTCTACTCGAAAACTACTGAAAAAAAAGAAATTGGAAGGTTGGAGAAGATTTTGTTCTTCTATCTGTCCAGAAGTTAATTCATCAGTCGTTTGGAATAATATTAAAAGATTCAGATCTGCCTTTAGTGATCATACATCACGTTCTGCACTCGATTTAACTTTAGCGAATAAATTTTTAGATCGCCTTGCTCCTAGTTATGTGCCGGAATGCCTTTACAATATTTCTCTATCCGTCTCTGACGAATTATCCGAACTTGAGTCTCCTTTTACTCTTGTAGAACTTAAAGGTGTTCTAGCTTGTATTAAAGACTCTGCACCGGGAGAAGACGGTATACCGTATTCCTTTTTTAAAAATGCTAGCGATGCGACATTAATTTACTTTTTAAATATAATTAATTCCATAATTATTTCGGGAAATATACCTACTTCATGGAAGTCTCCGATTATTATACCATTTCTAAAGCCTCATAAACCACCTTCTGAACCATCTTCATACCGTCCTGTTGCACTTTCCTCTGTCTTACTAAAGCTAGCTGAACATTTAGTGAAGAACCGTCTAGAATGGTTTTTAGAAAGTAATAACTTACTATCCCCGAACCAGTTTGGTTTTAGGAAAGGTAAGAGCACCTTAGATAATGTGAGCATTCTTATTTCAGATATTCATATAGCTTTCTCACAAAATTTGTCAATCCTCTCAGCCTTTTTAGATATAAATTCTGCCTATGATAATGTAATAATTTCTATTTTAAAAACTAAATTACAAGCTTTAAATGTACCGGTAATGCTTTCTAATTTCATTATTAATATTTTATCAGAAAGAACAATACATATGGATCTAGATGAAGATACCAAATTATCTAGAACAGTATGGAAAGGCCTTCCACAAGGATCTGTTCTCAGTCCAATTTTATTCAACATATACACATACGATCTAGAATCATTCCTTGATAAATCCGTCAAAATTTTACAATATGCTGATGATCTCTTATTATATTTTATTGCGAAGTCCATAGAATCTGCTTCTGCCAAATTATCTGATTCATTAGATTTGTTAAAAACGTGGTTAGATGCAAATGGTCTTAATCTTTCTGTAACCAAGAGTAGTGTAGTTTTGTTTTCAAGAATGAGATCACCGCAACAAATTAAGGTGCTTTATGATAACTCATACATTCCTATAAAGACTGAAATTAAATTTTTAGGTATCGTGCTAGATAATAAATTAACAGGTCTGTCCCACTGTAATTATATTTCCACGAAATGTGAGCGTAACCTCAACATTCTTAGGTGCCTTGCTGGAGTTTGGTGGGGAGCACATCCCGTTTCACTAAAACTTGCTTATAATGGTCTTATAAGGAGTGTCATTGATTATGGAACTTTTTTGTTAGCTCCAGGAAGTTCATTTGCTTTTAAGAAATTGGATTTAATTCAATCAAAGGCCTTGAGGATTATCTCTGGAGCAATGAAATCAAGTCCAATCAATGCTTTACAGCTCGAAGTCGGTGATCCACCTTTGGTTTTAAGAAGGCAATATTTATCTGATCGCTTCTTTTTTCGTTGTTTACAATTATCTGATCATCCGCTTATTCAAAAGTTATCTCAACTATATATCTTTATTTCATCTTCATCTTATTGGAAACATAAAAAACCTCCATGTTTAATACAAAGTTATGAAAAATATAAATCCATAGAATCTCCCACTTTTACATCGTCCTGTTTTCCCATTTATAAATGCTCATATCAATCTTTAGTTTTATCTCCTAATATTAAATATGATTTTGGGTTATCAAAAAATGATTCAGAATTGAATGCCAAATTTATGTTTATAACTGACATTGAATGGAATGAATGGAACTACATCTTTACTGATGCATCAAAACCAGACAATAGCGGTTGTGTAGGTGTGGGTGTGTTTCATTCACAATTTAATATCGTTCAAAAAATTAAACTTCCACCGGAATCTTCAGTTTTTACCGGGGAATGCTATGGTATTTTAAAAGCTGTAGAATATATACTTTTAATGAAATTACATAAGGCAATAGTTTTCACTGACTCTATGAGCTCTTTGCAAGCTCTAGCCAAATATCCGTTTAAATCAAAACCAGTTTATCCCATTATTTGTGACATAAGACAAAGTCTTTATCTTTGCATGTTGAGAGGGTATTCCGTTTCTTTTGCCTGGTTACCAGGACACAGTGGTATTAGCGGCAATGACAAAGCTGACCTTATTGCAAGAGAGGCTGTAACTTGTGGTGATATGTATCCGTATCATAATTACTGTAGTGACCTAGCTTGTCTCCCAAAAATATATTTAAGGTATGCCTGGAAGGAATATTGGGAAAAAACAAGTACAATAAAAGGAAGATTTTATCGCCTTATACAACCCGATATTCCTTTCAAACCATGGTTTTGTAAATTAAAGCTTGGAAAGACCGCAACAACTATTATAACTCGTATGCGTCTAGGTCACGTATGCACACCTTCTCATTTATACAAGCTTTGTATTTGTATTTGTATACAAATATTGTACAAAGTTCGTCGTGTAATTGCGGTGCTGAAGTGGCGGACTTGAATCATATATTCTTCTCATGTTCTAAATTTGACCACACCTCCCTTTTTAATCATCTCCGATCCATCCGTGTTCCATTCCCAACTTCTATTTTTACTCTACTTTCTTCCAATGATCCTATTATCTATAAAATACTATCTTCATATATATATGATAACAATATTAAGATTTAGTTATATTACATGAATACATTTATAGTTGCATCAATTGCTTTTCCTATATATTTATAAGTATATTCTCATATGTACAAGTATATCCTTCATATCCTATAAATATCCTAGACCTAATCCTTATCCTTTCTAAATTCGTTTGTGTTAGGTATTTTTATTACTATTATCGTTTCCCCGTTTTGTTCTTGGCAAAATACCCTAATATCGGGGTGAACGCCACAAAAAAAAAAAAAAAAAAAAAAAAAAAAAAAAAAAAACATTCGTCTGACGCATGAAACGTAGAAAGGTATGTACCATGTAAGTTAAACTATGTATACGTGTATTTTCCGTAGATTTCAGGGGTGTATGTTGCTATTTTATATCTCTGTCGAGCTAGCTACTGTTTCTACTTTTTGTGATTGGGGCTTTTTGAGATTGATTTTGGGGTTATTTGGAATATTATTTCAAATAGCCCCATCTAACGGTTCTTTATGCATTAGTATGGGTTTGAATGATGGTTTCAAATAGCCCCAAAAGTGCAAAAAAAGATATTTAAGGGTAAGTCAGTTCTCAGTCATCAAATTAAATTCGGCAAAATACCTAATCTAAAAAATGAGACTAATTTTCCCAGGCGAATTTATATAATGTATAATTTACATAATGTATAAATTTATATAAATAAAATAAATAAATAAAAATAAAAATGTCCTTAGGTGTGAGCAGGCTAGCATGTAAGTCAGTGCCGACATTGAATAATTTAAAGTTGCACCGTTATTTTCACGACTTTATATAAAAAATAAATAATAAAAAAATATTAAAAAATAAAATATAATAATAAAATGAAAAAATAAAATCAAATTACCTTCTTTTCATAATGAGGATTATAAAATAATTTGATTAAAATATATATTAAGTATTTTTATTTATACCTATACCTATTACAGAATTAATTATATCTATTAGCTATCACGTAAAAATTGAAAACAGCCTCCCCTTAAGAATTCCAAATATTGCTTTACTTATAATTGGCACATCTTATTACATTTACTTCTAATTCCAAATAACCCCATTTTATTTAAAATAATAATTTTGTTTTCGTGACTAACTTCATATAATTCACTATTTTCTTAACCGATAAGAATCAAATTGCGATAAACTTCAAGGCAGTCTATTCTAGAATAGTTCCAAATGTCTCTCTAACGGTTTTATTAAGCACAGTTTTATAAAATGTCAAAAATTGGTTAGCTTCTACATAGGATACCAAATAGCCCCAAAGTAGCAATATTTGGAATAGCATACTTTAAAACATATATCTTCAAAACTACACATGATAGACTTATTGTAGTGGTAGTCATTAAAAAGGTATTATAGGAACTGGTCAAAAAACCCCCTGTCGAGTAAATTAATGCATTGCTCTTTTATTAAATACATGATTTTGCAAAAAAATAAACCAAATAGCCCCGTTCTACGGTAACGAATATATAAATAAATACTAACTAGAACAACCAAAATAGTAGATGGGTATATAAATAAAATAACTGTAATTTGTTTTTCATTTATTGATGTTGAACAGTGAGGTGATCGCTAGGTATATTTTTTTTTGTGATTCATTGTACTGTATAAGCATGAATTAAATTTTATAATGTGACATTAAGGCCAACTATTTAACAATCAACTTAATATTAATAAAAGACTCAAGAAATATATGTATAATTACTAGAACTGTTGAGCCTACATCTTCCACAGTAAATAGGGAATATTGTTTATACACTATTAACATTGATTTTATATTTAGTTTGGTGTTTTTTAATTGGTAAGAAAAATGTTTTAATTTTTCACAGCCTCAGCACATTTTTAAGCAAGTGTCATATTATATTGCAATTATTTTTTATGTACTAGACCATTTCTAGCGCATTTCTTTCATATAATTCTAATTAAAATTGTATTTTTAACAAGAAGTAAATAAGTTTCTTACTAGAATATAAACAATAAAGTTAAATATTAGTTAAACCATAAAAACACTATAAACTATTATAAAAACAAAATGCATTTTTGGAATTGCCAGTCTATAATTGGTTAAATTTAAGTAATAATAAAATTACGAATAAGTGCCTATATTAAGTACAGAGTGCACATTGGTTTCTTAATTTTTAATAAAATATTTTATATCCCAAGAAATATTAGGTAAGTAGGCATATAGAAACTTAACGTCAACTATAGAAACATTGTAAAAACATTTAATCAAAAGTCATCTGCTTGGGTACCTCTGTCCCATTCGTGTTTCTGCCGTATGCAGTTGTGTTTGCATGGTTGAGTTTCGATTTTGAGGGTGAGATATGACAATGAAATTAAAGGGTACAGAGGCGTAACATATTAGTCCTCAGGAATAGCAACGCATAAAGGGTATCATGTGCGACATAGTATACGCTGTTATATCATGGTACTGTTGATGTTTATAGGTGACAATTAGAACTTTCCTTCAGGTGGACTGTCCAGCTTGTTTGCTATTCTAAGTTAGATAAAAAAGGGAATACTTTGATTATTAGATTATTAGTATGTAATTCGTTATAGGTGAAGTTTTTGTTTTAAGTACCTACTATCATACGGGAAATCTTTGGACTATGTGACTTCCCCATATACTGCGATGAAATATGGAGAAACTTCAACAATTTATTAATATTTTTACACAGTGGACGTGCATGACTACATATATAATTCGTGTGATATTCTAACAAAAAGGAAGCATCTACCTACTTACCCGAGGACAAGAAAATAATTACTCGGAGTAACACATTTCTCTTAATAATTACTAACAATAATACCCTGATAAAAAAATTGTGTTGACATCGCAAATTTTGAGATATAAATGTAATACAGGTATAGATAATTTTACAATATAAAATAAAAACCATTCAAGGGCGTAGCCAAGATTTGATTTTGTTATGGGTCTGATAAAAGTTTGTTAAGGAGTTGGGGGTGGGGAGAGTGAACATCTAATATAAATTTTTAAGTGATTTCCCAAAGAAAACGGTTGTCAATAAATCTCTTATATAAAAAAAAAAAAAAACTTTTTTTAAATTCTTAGCAAAATTCCTGCCACCTAATTGAACATCGACGGTAGAAGCAGAAGGATATTTTATACAAGTGAAGCACCCTAGCGCCTCACTTATCTCTCACTCGTGTTTTTGCGTGAAGTTGTCCTTGCATGATTGTCTTATGTATCTTAGGTTTTGCCTTTTAGTTTGAAGGATGTGGTAGTGAAATTACAGGATACTAAGATGTAACAGCATAGTCAGTTGTAGCTTGGTTAAAGTTTATGATCTTGTTCGGTATTCTAAATCGTATAAAAATGTAAATTAAATTTTTTCGGCTACGTCCTTTATATTATTGGTTTTATAGAACAAGTCAAATTTTATGCAAATGGAATATCTATATCACAAATTGTAACAGCTATAAATAATCAAAAGTACCTATTTAATAGACACAAATTCTTCAACAAGTTAAAAAAAAAAAACATCTAAAATTATAAAGAGGTGCTTATTAATAGTACGAAGATTAAAAAATATTTATAAATTATGATTAAATAGGTAAATACGTAAACAGCCTCCTAGACAAGACGTAACCGAATCTATAGGTAAATTCATTTCCGTTAATGTACGCATGAGAAAGAACAGGATATTAGAGGTTTGACGTCTCTTTTTTATCGCAAGCATGCGGTAGTGATAATGTATCTATCAATACATGTATTTGTTACTTGTCTGGGGAGGCTGGTCACAGCTTTGTGCATAGACGTTGTGTAGAAGAAAAATGTGTAATAACGATTGCATATAAAACTTGTGCTCAATTTCAATGGCGTCGTGACTAGACACGTTGAGCTCCGACTTACTTGGTAAGTACAACAATATACTTACAAAACTCCAAATAATTAACTTAGGTAATAAATAATGATTATTTAACTTAGCGTAATTTTCATGCCTATTATATTTATATGGAGAAAAATTAAGTACAAATTCGTAGGTACCTAGGTAAACCTACGTTGTATTTTTAATAAATTGTCTTTTTACAGAAGTATTTACTATCTATAGACTTCACATGTGGGTGTAGTAGCAGCGATCTGTTTCAATAGAATTTAATGGAAAGTTAAATATATTTTGTTGAAATTGTTACTGAATTAATTTATAAGTAAAATTAGTAACAAATCGAAACATTCAACTAAATACGATTTTTGATCTAAACAGTAATTAGACATCAACAACAACAAAGGGAGCCTCCCTTATAGTCAGATCTGTTCTTTGTTTACATTTTCATTATTTTCTATTGAAACAAACTATGTATAGTGGTTATGTATTTAAATATTTAGCCTTCGGCAAACTTAAATATAGCAGTCTTTATAAGACTTAATGAAGTATATTGCCTACTTAAATGTATAAGGTAATATGTGAAAAAAAAAACATAGAAACTAATTAAATTATTGAATAAAATTATGGTAAGTGAATATATAATAGATATTATAATTGCACTATTAGACGAGTTACCTATATTAATTTATAAAAAGCTCGAATATTATTAACTGTAATGTTTCAGTTTCAGAGATGAGATTTAAAGCATGTGACTAGGTGAAATACGAAAGTATAGTTATTTAGACACATATTACAAATACCTACTTACATAAAACATTAATAACAGAATAGAGTACGGTCCAAAGAGAGAGAGAGAGAAAGAGAGGGAGTAATAGAGAAACTATAATACATCGAACACGGAACAGTATTGGAGATTTCATGAAAACCCTATCAGTCAGGTGCAGGTTGTAAAGGATGTCGTCATCCATTGGTACTTCTATACCTCACCTGGTACTTATGCTTTATATCTCTAAACATTACAAGGTGTAATGAAGTTAAGGCATAATCCTAATGGCATTTTATGCTGTGATCGATGTAGTAACAACGCTTAATACATAAGTACGACCGCTTTAATATTTCTATATATCTAATTTTGAAGTCTGAACTGAACGATCATGATGAGGCAACACTCATGTTAATTTAAACAATTACACTTATAAGTGAATCAATGGAGATCGGAGAAACATCATAATCTGTCGCTGCATGTTTTGAATATGCACATACAAAAAATCTCTATTGTTCACAGAAATTGACCACTTTAGGGTCTGTGAGTGTACTACTCATTAACTTTTCGGTTAACCATATTATAAAGGTAACTAGTACAAATATGTAAGTACCTAATGGACGCGAATATGAAATTCAGTCACCGGTACTAGCTCCACAACATTTATTAAATCCTATAAGTGTTATAACAATTCGTCTATTTTAATTTAACTCACGGAATATTTCCAGTTCACAAATTGCTCTTTTTCGAAGAACTGGGTAGGTACAAATCAAGATGCGAGTTCCTTTCATTCATGAAAATTAATTAACTAATTTGACATTTATATGTCTATTTATTAAGATCGTTTAATTTTGTGTGTTCAAACCACAGATCACCAATATATACAAATATATGCATAGGTCGGACAAATAGAGGGGAACTCGGAATACCACTGAGTTATTCCTAGACACCTCGTAACCGTAACAGTCAACATTCATACATTACAACTAGTGCTGCACTCTAACTCAGTCTGCTCCATAGTTGAAGTTAAGAGCGTTAAATGATCTGAAGATCTAAACGAGTCAAGTAGCAACGATTCCAATTCTACATGCGTTTAATTTACCGCACATAATGACATGGTATGTAAAATGTCTCGTAAAATGCGGTTTGATATAGGATTCTGTTTCGTAGCAGTAAAGGTGTAATTTTGCTTGGACGTATTTAGAAATGGTCTCGTTTACTTATCAGGGTTTGGACCTCAAAATCGTTATGATCGAAGCTGGGTTCAAAATGTCTGGTGGCAGGGGCCTAGCCGTTGTCCCGCGTGTCGCGCTCGGTGGCGCGCCACTCGCCGCGCGTGCAGGCCGCGTCGCGCCACCACGCCTGCACGTCCGTGTAGTGCGCGCTGCGCTGCCGCCGCTCGTTCGCGTGCACCATCGCGCACACACGGCAGAAGAAGTACGTGTTTATGAACTCACCCGTACCCTATCCGTAAAAAGAGGTTTTTTATTTTCTTTTTTTTTAATGAATGATAATGGAATGGCGATCCCGCTTGCGCTAACGATATACTATGGCGGGGCACTAGTGAGGGATGACAGGTGATAATGAAAAGGCAGGTCTATTAGTTTGAGAGGAGACCTACCCTTACCATCAGGGAGTGGGTCGCTGTCGTCGGAGATGTGGTGAGTGCGAAAGTGAACCCATGTCTCCGACATATGGCACTTCGAGGGTATATCGTCATTTAGCCCATCGTGATGAATTCTATTAGAATTAATCACCAACAAATTAGAAAGGAGATCGACCTGATTGGGTATATTGCTAGCAATGGATCAGTTAGACGCTATTACTGACAATCTCTTTCCCCTTCTTACATACCGGTGGACTATATTATTGGGATACTTATTTTCAGTTCACTATATTAATATTATTTACCTTCCACTTGAAATATGAGTTGTAAAGCGTATCGTCTTCGTCGAGACGACGCAAGTACGAGGCTAATTCCTCAGGACCCGCGAATTCTTCTACATGAATGTACGAATTGTGCGGCGCGGCTGCCGCGTATTCGGACGCTCGTGCGCCCATCACTATTGGCAACACATTATGTCTGCAAGCAGAAATAATATGTGGTATATTTATTCCTTAAAAAATACTGCAATTTTGATAATAATTAGTATTAGATCAACAGGTGTAGAATTTAAAAAAATTAGTCATCAAAATTGATTCAGTAATGGCAAAGATATTGCATAATATAGGTACACACATAAAATAAAGTATATGCAGTCTAATTAAAAACCTTATCTTTTTTATGTTAGGTAAATATAAGAAATTAAGATGAATCTTGGAATGTCATGCTATAGGAAAACCTGTGGTGATAGTTTAGTGTGTAACGTTACTGTTAAAATCTTATTGCTCATAGTTTATATTAATGCCACTAATTTTAATTCGTGCTTTTAAATATAAGTTTGTAAGTGAAATAAAATTTATTACTATTATTATATTACGAAAATACATATTTTGTGTAAAAGTCATTTGCATAGTTTCTTATCCACCATTATCCAACTTGTATTTCTGCTATTTATACTAAGCAGATTTTGCTGCAATGTTAGGTATAGGTAGATCGGTTTGAAAGATAAGATATGGTAGCGAAATTACACGGTATGAAGGTATAGAGTCCTCAAGGGTGGCAATGCATGAGAGGTACCATAATTGTCACGGAATATTCTGTGACATTTTTGATGTTGTTTGTGTCTATAAGTGACGGTTTACCATTTCTAACACTTGCGTCTTTTGTCTTTTATAACTTAGCTTAATTTTTTTTGTAAGAATAAATAAACTTACTGCAGTCCATTGACGAAGAATTTTTCTGTAATATAATCTCGACAATTGGAATTTTCAAAGGCGAGATAGAATTTGTATTCTCTGTCGAGCATTTCTAAACAATTTGGATCTGTTCTCGGGCAATGGTGTGAGCCACATGCGCCGTAGATGTCTACTGGAATGTATTTGGCAAGTTGGCGGGCGTATTGCAGACGGCGGTTACGTGCATGGCAATTGGAAACGAACCACGCTACCTGTGAAAAAAGAATCATTGTTATTTAATAAAAGATCTTTTTACAAGTAGTAGCTTTTCGATTTTAGATAATTACGTACTCTTACTTAGTTTAAACATGTTCTTCAGCTGATTAAGTTGCGTTCAATCTTCACTCTTATTCACCGTTTCATGAGTCGTATAAAAAAATTAAAAGAAATGGTACATACGAGAACGCAAGAATGGGGTTGGCACTCGGTTCTCTCTTTTTATCTTGTATGAAATTAGAGCTATTCTCTACAAGTAAATACTTGAACGTTGCTTGTAATTTATTAATTTATTATATGTAAGGATGATTTTTAAGGGACTTATACCACAGATAATATAATACTATACTAGTACTTATACGGAAAGTAGGTACTTATCTATCCAATTTCTTACTTTTTTAGTTTTATTGGCTGCATAATTCTTGTCAAGTTCCTTCTCAGTGACAAGGGGATCATGGTACACCCATCTCTCGTATGGAGCAACGATATCAGAGTCCCGCCGGTACGTCGAGGTCCAGTTGAATACATTCAGCGACGACGGCCGCAGTGACGCCGTGTGGTAAGGGCATTCTAAGTAGTATAGGATCCATATCTGTAATAAGAAAAAAAAACACTTTTTGTCCATTGCATTTACATCACTATTGATTATCATTATGTGTTATATATTAACTTTTGCACCTACATAATATAAAAGAATAACGGTAAAGATTACTTCGATTTTTTCGAAGATAAAGATTAGATTAAAGGCATAAAAAAGAGCTTTAGCATTTCTTGAAAGCAAAACTAAACTTTTTTTCTTAAAGAAAAATGGTCCATAAACGACAAATAAATTGAACAATACCGTCTGTTAAGTTGACAGGGAGTGATCGTGTTACTTTTCTTCTTATTTTAATTTCACTTGTACCTATATATGTACATTCAGATAAACTATAATAAATAATTTACCTGATTAGGAGGACGTTTTATATTGAATGGTGTGTGATGATCTTTGTATAGAATAGCATCAGCCGTGGCGGCGTCTCTGGCATCGGCGGTGAGAGAGCATCGGTCTACCGGACACTTGTTGCGGATGAATTCAGTTCGACCGGCGGGCACGCCCCATGCGCCCAGTCCGTTGGCAAGTAGAATTTTTTTCACAGGTACTGTTTCATCCTTCGGCAACGTGTACATTAACTGTTGGACCACTCTGTGAAAAAGAAAAAAACCTTTTATGTTATAGATAGCTATGTAAAGTTACATTTAGATATATATACAATAATAGAAAAACTATTAAAAAAAGGTGTTACCTTTTTAATGACAATAATAATCCTCATCATACTAATATTATAAATTCGAATTCACGGGATAAAATTATTAAATAAGTATTTGTATACATGTCGCCGCGTGGTCCCGCATAGAATAGGCCACCCCCTTCTTTCCTGTGGGTGTCGTAAGAGGCGACTAAGGGAGGGTAAGGGATGGGCAGCAGCATTCCTTTTAAAAGATTTCCAAAGCCTAACTGCGGTTGCCAATCCGCCTGGTAAGCATAACAACTACTGGCAAAATCCCCCAAGGGGGAGGCTTATGTTCAGCAGTGGATAGTTAAAGGCTGATAATGATGATGATGGTACTTGTAGCCATCAGTATACCTGGAAAGTCATGATATTTTTCATAGGGAAGCTTGTTCTATTTCGCGAGGTTTTCTCCTAGAGATTATAGTATGGTACTTTAGAAACGGCGACACCCCTTGTGATGCTAGCGATATCATCATTGTGGTATAAAAAATTCAAATTCGAAATCATTATTAAAAAAGGCAGCTATCCTTTTTGTTTACAGCCTGTATATATTTAAATTTTAAATAATCTGAGACTTACCTGTCATCACCTGGCGCGTCCTCCGGGAACAGGCCCTCATTTGGATCGCTGTGTTTGGGCCGCTGCTCCCCGCCGCGCATGTACCACGGTCGTCGAGCCACATCGTCCTCGTCATGTTCTATAACTTCTTCCTTCTCAATTATCGATGTCTATAATGAAAAGATATTATAATAATTCAATAAAAGTCTAATACCAATAAATGAGTCGAGGGAAGGGATTATTAGTAACGGAGACTAACGGTCTCAGTTAGGTGGGATTCATTACAATGACATAACTGATCTGATTTCATGTGATTATAGGTAAAGACTTACTAATCACCTTTATCAATCACCCTTTAGAACCTCGTCTGTGTAAACTAGTAGAAAAGATAACCATACCCTTTAATTTTAATTAAAATAATAAACCATTAAAAAGACTGACTAGTGTTAGGGGTTTTTTAATTGCTAAGTTATGACTGATAAACAAAGAGCAAACTAAACTCATGCTTGAGTTTATGTTTCTTATAAATCACATAGTCCATTTATCTTTGTGAATCGTCTGCATTCTCTCTTCACCTTCACGTCTATCTATCTACAATTAGAAATCCTTTAAATATTGTTTAATTTTGTAATAGATATCTATAGTTATTTATACTAACTTTATATATATTTTTTTATAAAGTGTGTAATAACTGATTTGTCAATGAGTTAAAAAAATAGTTCCTTTTTGTAATACAATAATAAACAAGAAAAGTATTTTGGTCTTTATTTTTATATCTACCGTATTTTATTTATACATAGGTACGTATAATATTTTCGACAATCTGTGTTGTTTATATACTTACTTGGTAGAATTTATGTTTGTTATCTATTAAAGCGATATAAGAATAACCTTAGTAAGGTCACTTTTATGATAGCCAATATATACATAATATATTATGCAGGTACGATTACAAGTATAACTAGTTAGCATAACGTAAAAGAATGTAAATTGAATGGGAATAGCATTAGTATTGACTATAAAAGAATTGCATGAGGGTGCCCGCACAAGGTGATTACGCCTATGATTATAAGACATATATTAATTAATAATTACACGGGCTTAATTTGGAAATAAGTAATCTATGCCTGAGTCTGCCTATCGGAAACTCTTATATGAAAAGAATTATTGACTTAATGTAATGCGAGAACGGAATTTACGATTTTAATCTTATTTTGTATTCGAAAATAAAAATAATTTTATATAAACTATATTAAACACTTATTAAAATAAATTACGAATATTAGGAAGAAAATAATTTTATATTATTTATAAATGACTCGGCAAACGTTATTTTATCTTACTACAATTATTATACTCGATTACCATCTTGCAACCCTATTGCGGCATATAAAAATCGCGATTAAAAACGGGGGTTGATCGTAAAAGGGTGAAAATTTGAAGTTGTATGTATTTTTCAATGCTTAATCATAATAAAATAAAATAAAATAAAAAAAAATGTTCAAAAAATAAAAAAAAAATATTTAGGGCTATGTCACCATTATCATTGAGGGTTATGAAAAATACATGTTGGCCGATTCTCAGATCTACCCGATATGCACACAAATTTTTATAAAAATCGATAAAGCCGTTTCGGAGGAGTTCGGTAACAAACATTTTTATTTTTTTATATATTAGATTCAGATAAGTTTCATTCATAAGACGATGGAGTAAGAATAAAACTTGTTGCTCTTTTTACCCTAGGAAGTATTTACTTTAAAAGAACAAAAAAATTATGTTCAGAACTATAATCACTAATGGAGTAGTCAGAAGCACACGTCTGATTAAGGAAACAATATACGATATACTGTCCTTATCATACTACGTATATAATAAATACCATGATGATTAGTGGACCTGTTAAGGCGCTTAAAAGAAGCAAACATCATAATAAGTAGAAGTTGAAACACGAATGGGACAGAGGTACCCAAGTAATCGACTTTTGTACAAAGTCTCCCTCTGGTATTTATTTTATACTTTCGCGTTGTTGATTATCGGGACTAAATGCGACATGATTACAATCATGTAAATTGTAGTCAGTACTAGTAAAGATTTAGACAAATAGTATATATAGGGACTTCCATTATTACAAGACAAAATATGGGATCAACAGGATAGTGGGCGTACTTCCGTAATCTGTAATTGATCGCATATGGAATTATCAAAATCGGTATGTAATTTTATTGCCTTTTTATTGAATTATATTGCGTAATATACGTACACAAATTATATTTTATCCAATTAATAAATGATAATGTTTATTAAGATTATAATCTTAATAAACATTATTCTCTATTTTAATTTAATCATTATTTATATTTGTTAATTTCAAGTAAGCCCATAAATTTACAAGTATTTTATTTATTTATTTTACTTTTATCTTTTAATGTATCTTTTAAAAAGAATCGTAACTTTATAAGACCATTTTCTTATTTGTGTCATATACTTAGATATTTTTATTAACTGCATTCTATATCTTTGTTTACTTGACTAGTAAAATTTTAACCTGGAGATGTTGCTCTTCGCGAGGTGGCGCTGGCGCCGGTGGTGAGGGGCTCCGTGGTGACGGCTCTAGAGGCGGCGGGCGTGGCAGCAGGAGCAGCGCCAGCGCTGTCAACGCTAGAGGCAGAAGTAACACGCCACGCCGCAAAGCTCGCAGCGCTCGCGCAGCCCTCATCCACATACCGCCGGCGCCCCTTTATCCGTTCGTTGCTCCTCTACGTCGACGGCCCCCTCTGGCGCCCATCTTTTCAGAGACTATCTTTGACTTCTTGTAGCCATCTGTAATTTTTAAATATATACCTATTATATTTTAATATTTATTTAGGTAATATAACTTCTTAATGCTACTTGGTATACCAAGCTGATAGCTCTCTAGATGGAAAGTAGCAATCATCGTTTATATTCAAGAAGTTTAAATGCAATTGATATATAATTATACTCACATACCATACTCATATATATATATATATATATATATATATATCATGAGGCAGTTTGAATGGTATACTGGAAACTTCAGTCTTATAAGGTTGAAGAGAAAACTATATTATAACTGTTATTTGTATTATGTTCTGGCGCTATCATAAAATACTGCTATCAATAATGTGTAGCGCCTAACCAGTTTATGATTTTTTTATAGCACGATATATGACTATATCATCCTGAACAAATACAGAGATAATATAATGAATACGATCAAATGAAAGCAAAATAATTTTACCCTCAATGGTTAACCGCTCTATGCCGGTACACTAAATGCTTTTTTATGCTACGTTGGAAAGATCTGAAGTTATCGAATGAAAGAAGCACGGCACATATGGCTTTCTTTGGCATTTTTTGAAATATTGTATACTATGCAGACATAGATATACTTATGTATATTTAAACTTAAAAAAATTATTATGCGACTTCAAAAATTCTTTTACTTGTAAAAAGCTATACATCAGCGAGTAATATAGGTTGTATTTTTTCATAACTTATTAATTTATATTTTTACCTATCTACCTGTGCGATGCCGGAGCGGGTTCCTAGTCATTTAATATAATGATTTCTTGACACAATTGATTAAAAGTGATTGTAGATATGGACAACGATATGCACAGCTGCACAAGGGTAAAAATTTATCAATTTCTAAAATAGAAGCGACACCTTCACACGAGTAATAGTAGTAGTCTAAATTGGAAACCAATGTATAAATGCAACTAAAAACGCTACATTTTGAATGTACAGCCAATTCCAGACATCTAACATGTAAAAATAGAGAATTGAAAGATAAATTAAGAGGGAAATGCAGCTTGAGTGGGCAACTTCTGGGAAATTCGATAGATCTTCTCATCATCTTTGTCACAAAAGCTTAAAGACGAATCAGTGAGTCATGATATATGGTGTTGAAATGAAGACAATTAGATATGACAAGACAAGCCCACCAATTGAAAGTCGCTTAGCAAGCTATGAAAAGAGCTTGCGTATGATTGGCGTTTCTCTGAGAGATCGAATACGAAATGAAGTATTTTGCCAGAGGACCTAAATTACCAACATAGCTCTGCGGATCTGCAGATTGAAGTGATAATGGGGTGGTCATATTTGGCAAAAAATCGATAACTGCCTTCTGAAATGAATATTGTGAATCGGCAAGCGTAGATGATCTATTACTAGGTGATGTAACGACAAAAGTAAGATGGCTGGTAAAAATTGGTAGAGAAGAGCTGAAGATTTTACTCAGTGACATTCAGCAGTAGATTGCAGTAGGCTGCAGTAGGCCGACTATGACGACGATTATGATGATAAAATTAGAAGATATTATTTGATATAGAGTTTCATACCTTTTATCCTTGGACTTAATATACAATATAATTAATAACATTAAATTTATAAAAATGAAAACAAGTAGTTGAGATTATTTTTAGACTGTAAGTAGATATTTCTTAGCATTTCAGTATATACTCGTAATACTGCATTCATATTTAATTTACATTTCTTCTTTTCGTAAACGACCTATTATATTTATTATAAGTATTAAACAATAACGAAAATTTATAGAGACGCGGCATAAGAGAATTGTGTAAAAAGTATAATAGAAATGATAAAGTTGTCAATCAATCCAAATTAGTTCAGTTAACAGTTTGCTACAATTTATGACTCTAGAAAGTGCAGACATTATTCTTAATCTATGAGGTACAATAAATATGGTAATTCATCTGAGTACAATGACAATAGAAAAAATATTTTTTTTTTGTTCGTCATTTCAATAAACGGTAATATCTAATATACGCATTTTGTTTGAAAATAGGTATTTTTTCTGAGGTAATAGCACAGTATAAGTCATTGCTTACTACTTAGTAATAGTCTAGTTTAATTTAGTTTAGTCATTACAAAGAGGACCTAAGTTTTTTTAAAACAGCCCTTCCAATGCTATATTTAGGGCTATTCATTTTTTCTCAATAACACAATATATAGGCTCACTCTGCCTGCCACGTTGGATTCTAATATGCTCGGCGAAATGTGAAATGTAGGCATATAGAGTGATATGTTCTCCACAAGGATATTAGTCCACAAAATTCCTTCGACTGGTTCATTATGGATTATAGTCGAGGTCATATTTTCTTCTTATAAATAAAAAAAAAAAAACTTATTCCATTATTCCATTTAATAATTAACGCGTCATGGACTGATTATAGAAATGATAGTAGAGACCTTAGATTACATAGATAGTGTTATGTACGAATGCTTCTAGAAAAACAGCCCAAACTATTTATCATGCAAACAATTTTGCGTGATAAATAGTTATGAGTGGTTCTTTTATAACTTATTTATTTATTTAGATTTTATTATTTTTGCATCTTTTTAATGCGTAAACACTTATTTTATTTATTAAATAATACGTCAAGATAAATTTTATGCGTAAGTATATAGAACACTGATAAAAAAAACGAGCAAGCTAATTTGACAATTAGCTGACAAAAATCTAAAATAGTAAAGCAGACTACTAGGTTTCTAAATTTGATAAACAAAGAAACTTGAGTACGACTATTGAAAATGTGATTAAAAGGGAGCTTAAGAATAACTTAATTTTAAAAATGTCTAGTTTTCTGGTGAGTTACCTATTATTTTTACAAAGGTGCATTATAGAGAAAGAAAGTTAAATTTTGTAGAAAAAGGCAGTAACGAATCATCAGCATCATGGGTATCACACTTATATGCGATGTCAGTATTGATGTTTAAAGTTTTGTTTAAAATTTTGAATGTGGCTTCGCATACTAAGTGTACGAAGCGTTAAATTTAGAAACGAATTTATTTTTTGATTATTTGTGTATAGGACCTATGAGGAATAAAAGTTCATATTTAGAAAAATAACTTGAAGTAGGTAGGTACATTGGTATAGCATACCGCATTTCTTTTCGTCCTCAAGAAGTCATAAGGACGCATCAGTGCTTAAGAAGGAATACTTAAAATATTCGCAATACTCTGAATAAAACTGATTAACCAGCGCACATTAGTAATAGTTTCCTATAATTCTCTTCATATAGGTATGAGATATGAGCAAATACCCGTCTTATCATGAATACGAAAATTGTATTGATCATTCAATCGATGCCGTATTAACTTTTTATATGAATGAAATACCTGCAGAAAATAAATAAATCACTAGTACATTTTACTAAAATTTGCGTTAACACTGTTTGTAGTTTGATAAAAATTTTATCAGCAACGAATGACCGTAAAAATTTTTTTTATTGCGACAGGATATTAGGTGTGATTATGTTTATGGTAGGTGTTTTATAGTATACCTACCTTATTTTACATAAATTTCTATTTTTAGTATTCAAACGAATGTAATGTAACCCTTTCCTTTCTCGTGGGTGTCGTATGAGGAGACTAAGGGAACAGTCGAGTAATGGAAACATCACTAAAGTGCTGCGGTCCCCAACCCGCC